TGTGTTTCTTTGTGCGTGCGTGCGTGCGTGTGTACCTGTGAAATGAATTGCATTTAATTGCGTTCTCTGGTTGTATTTTGGTATACATGTTGTACAATACACACGCAAAGAAATGTGTCAACAAAATCAAATTAATAATCCGACTGGGAAAAATCAGATAGATGAATGAGAAAATGATAATAAAAGTAAGGATAAATAACAAGAACAATAATAACAATCACAAAAATTTTATTATTTATTTATTTATTACGTAAAAAGACCAAATGTTTTTTTAAAATGATCCTAAAAATCATAAATAATAATAAAAAACAAATAAATGAACGAACCTTTAGACAGCCGATACTATTTTACGTTAATACTATTTTACATATTAGTATTATCATCATTTTATTATTATTTAGTTATTATTAATCGTCAATCATAATAAATAACGTAATTAGTTACTTTTGTATATTATAAAAGTTTTTCAAAATCAAATTATTCAGAGTCGAATCTTCGTTCAATTTAATATTTCACGTTATTAAAATAAAAACATCAACTCTCTCATTGTTACATACAAGCATACATACATACAGGCACATACATGTATTGCATTTAATACATAGATATGGAGAGAGTTATATGTATATATAGTATATGAGTTATATACTATATATACATTATACATCAATATATATATATATATATATATTGTATATATAGTATGTATATAGTACAATATATATATATATATATATAATAAATATATTTAGTATATATATATATAGTATATAGTAGGCTTTCCAACGTTTAAAGGCCCAAATGCTTACCAGCATTTAAGTCTATGAATGAATGAAGGAAAAATAGGAGGAATAAAGGAGTAGCACAATGGTGTAGCCAGAATTTGATAATGTTTATGTAAAAGCGGACCAAGAAGTTATATGAATTTCTGTTGGCTGCTACGTATATGACCCCACCCATTTATTTAAATGAAATGATTCTATTGGTTGAGTGAGTGTTGTAGAAAAGCGCGCTAAAATGAAACTGTTTTTAATTGAAATTTTCGTTGAATTTCAGCCGATTTGAATAATGAGAGTTTGAAATAAATGATAAAGTTGATGTTTGTTCATGTATTTATTAATTTGTTTTGTTATTTACCAAGATTTTGTTTGATGCATATTAAAATTTAGACCATTTTTTGAATATCTGTCTTGGCTGACAATCAAAAGTTTCAAATTGACTCATACGAACGAATCTATTTTTCAATTATGTAATAAATTTTTTAGGATTAAAAAATGAAATAAACGAACTATTTCCTCCAACAACTTCAACTACAAAACTCATTCATTCATTCTGACTTATTTCATTCTATTTATTTCCAATCCTCTGTTTTGGTTTTGTGACCAACATCTACCGAATGCTTCAGTTTTTTATGTTTTTCAATCAAAAAAGCAAAATTTTATTTTTTCTTCATTGAAGCCCAATTTTTTACTTAAACATTTTCAAAAAGCAACTCCATTATTTCTCTAAAATCTGCTTAATAACAGTGATAAAATAATCTTTTTAACAAGAAAAACTAAAAAGGTTAAGTAAATATTGTTATATAAATAGTGTTATTATAATACTATAACATGCTACAATAATTCACACTTCGGTACAAACATACGATTCGCGAGTAGATCAAAAAATGTAACACGAATGATCCTAATTTGTTTCTTTGATAGAAAATTAACCCTAATTTGAATAACTTTGATGAAACTTTAACCTTTCATTCGTACGTTACGCTCCGAATGGGTCAAATTTATTCTGTATTTTATTGCTAGTCATTGATTTTGAATGTGCATTATCAAGATAAAACATACTATTCGAAAGAGAAAGTTGGCGACAAAGGTTTTATCGTTTTGTGTTTTTCATGCGCAACTTGATAAAAATAAATCAAATTCGCAAAAATATAAACAGAATTTTTATATATTTTTGAATTATCAAGATAAAAGAACACAGATTTACCATGATCAAAATTATTGAGAGGCCAACTAGACTGCCCTTCTAAGCGAGCCCCTTGTCCCTTACAAAACGAAACGAATCTAAATTTAAAAAAAAAATTTCATGGAAAATAAATGTTATAGAGTGGATCATAGTATTTTATAATTTATTGAGTCTGGCCATCCGAATTTAATCTTAGCCCGCATCTCATCAAAGACGAGACGGATTTCAGTTGCCTTCCCGTAAGATAAAAATGTTTGACCCTTTAATTATTTCAAATCCATTGTTACCTCGGTGTAGGTTGCTGTTAAAATTTTCACTTTCTTAAACAGTGAATGTAACTGTCAATATGCACAAACAGTATTTCTGTGGTGTCGGCTGGAATATGAAACTCGCTTCCAGTGCAGTTAACAGATGGTTCCATCACAAGTCGACAGCTTTTCAAAAAAGCTTTAAAGCGTCATTACATCAAAATTGTGCATCATAGAAAGTGCCTCTGATGTCTTTTCAAGAAAGGCGCTATACAAATTTTGATACTGATAAAATCTGGATCTCAATGTTCTACAAAGTTAAGAGATGATTAGGTCGGAGTAGTTTTTTAAGAGATTTTATTGGTATGAAGTAGGAAAAATGCTTTCTTTAACATTTTGAAACATTTGGTTGGGTACATTTCGATAGAAGCACAAATCTACCCATCTTGAATAGCTTTTTTACTGTTTATTCTCACATCTAGGGAAGGAAACGCAGATACTTAAATACGGATTATCGATTATTCACTGCAAAGTTGGTTGCAGTACACATGTAGGTATATTTAACCACACACACACACACACACACACACACACTCACACAAACACTCACACACACACACGTTTATTATATTATTTAATTTATTTTCTAATTACAATCAATTAAGTTCTCGATATAATGCCGGTTTCCAAGACCCCCAGCTCTCCTCATGGATCAATTAGCACATTTTTTTTTTGAAATTATGACACTTGTTAGATGAAGACTCAATTTAAAAGTAGTGGTGCATATTTCTTTGAAATCTTGTTCCACCATCAAAGAAAATAAAATTTTTAGAAAAGACCTCCGAGTTGTCGCAACAGCCAATGTTGAAGTCAGCATATTTCTATAAAGTGTTCCAATTCATTTAATTATAATTGTTGAAACATTGCAACTGATAATAATAATATAAATATTTAATTATAATATAAATAATTAATATTAAATAACAATATTATTCTAAAGCTATGAGATTTCAAATATTTTATATTTTAATCATAATGAAATTGTAGAGGAACTGTTAAAAATGAAAGAAATCAGGTTTATTTTTTTTATTCCCAACAGTTAGTTGATAACGTTTAGAATTAAAAATGCAAAACTTTGACCACTCAGTTAGAATATATTAACTATCGTTCACAGATGTCGTAGCTTATGTTATTAATACCTAATAAACGAATCAATCGATAAATCAGTCAATCGATCATCCAACCAATCTATAAATCAATCAACCAATTAAGAAATTTAATGTTTATTTAAAAATAATTTTAATAATCAACTAGTCAATCAATCTATCAACCAGCCAACCAACCCAACAATCTTTCAACCAACCAACCAACCAATCAATCAACCAATCAACCAACCAACCAATCAATTAACCAACCAATCAACCAACCAATCAATCAATAATTTTAATCTTCCAAACAAATGTTAATAACTCGTTGAAGTAGCTGAAATAAACCAGTAAGTAATTAGATAGAATCTAACGAAAGCATTGCTCGAGCGGGCGTGTTTATCAACGAATAGATTTTTATAACAAAACAAAACAACAAATAGGTTTTCTCTCAACTACATCGATTCAATCAAAATCTTTATGATAGTCGTTATAAACAATCAATTTATTTATCATCATTAATGTTGTAGTCATTCTTTATTATCATCGTCATCGGATGTAAAATGTTAATGATGTCATATCAGTCATCGTCATCATCGTCGTCTCTCTCTCTCTTTATGTTGGTGCTCAAAAGTAGCGAAGAAGCAGACGCCGATGCGTGTAATGGATAAAATATCTGGCTATTTTTATCAGAAGCTGGACTATCCATGTTTATTTTTGGATTGTATGTTGGGATTTTCCATTGAGTTTCGGTTTCGCTTTCATTTTCAGCTTGTACGCTTACTTTCTTACAGAAGACATACTGATGTAGTAAGTTGTTGTTGTCGAAGTTTTTATCATCGGTTTTGTTATTGTTAATCCAGTTCTTATTATTGTTGTTGTTATTGTTGATGTAGGTAGCATTTGATGATGTTAATTTAAATTCATTTTTCAACAAAATTTCCATCATACTGATGACCGTTACGTCAGAGGGGGAAGTGTTGATGTTGATTTCAGCGCTGTTGTTGGTGTCTTTGGTGTATGGGTTGTTGTTATTTCTGTCATTGTTGTAGTTATTGTTGATGTTGTTGTTGTCATTGTTGTTATTATTGTGATTGTCTAAATTTAGTCGGCTACCAACATGTTGAGTGAAGAGTATTTTGTTTTTCAAACTTGGAAACTGTTGAATTATTTTTGTTAAAAGTTCTTTGCCTCCTTTTAAAATAATCTTTGGTTGATCACTTCCGCTCAATACGTCCATCATTAGACATTCAACTTTAATGACGTCATCGTTTTTTACGTCGTCGCCATCTTCGTCGTCAACAACGTCACAGTTGATTAGTTTTTCAGTTGTGTTGTTGTTGTTGTTCATGTTGATGTTCCTAAAATCAGGTTTAAATTTTTTCTTGGCTTGCAACAAATGAGCAACATTGTGATTGCGTTGTAGTTGTTGCTGCTGCTGATGTTGTTGTTGTTGTTGCTGTTGTTGTTGTTGTTTATGTTGCTGCTGCTGATGGCGACGATGAAGTGAGCGATGATTCTGGAAGTTGACATCATCGTCATCATCGTACTCATCATAATCATCACCGTAGCCTTCTTTCAGCACCTTGTAACGTCTCATTCGTTGTTGTTGTTGTCTCTTGAACATTTCAGCCTCTCTTATCAAAGACTGTAAATCGAAGAATCTTGCCTCCTCCAATAGAAGATCCACTTCCTGAAAATCTGCCGGGATGTTTAGACTTCCGGTTCTGACGTAGTTGAGCACGTGACGAAACATCTTGCCATCCCTATCGATGAAGTAGTGCTGTTTGAGGCTGTCCAGGATGATTGGGACGCTGCCGTTGAACATCTTCGCCAGTTTCGACTCCGGGTATCTGCGAGTTGAAGTGTGACGATGATGAAATAAAAATAATGACGTAGTTAATTTAATTAAACTATAAAATGTAGATAGAGTTGATGACCAACATTTTTGAAAAATTAGAAATAAAAACAAAAATTGATAAAAGCGCAAATTGGTAACTCATCGTGAGTTATCGTATGAAGGCATAAACGATGGCGTAGAAAAAATATCGGCAATTCTGACGACAATGGTGAAGAAAGAGACATACTTAACAGCAAGCAACTACGCGGGGTACAAAGAACAAAAAAAACTTTCTAAAAAACAATTAGGTGTATACATTGTCACAAACATCCGGACAACACATAATACACGCTAATCGGTTGGGCGGTCGAACGTGTCCATTTTGTTAACAAACCTATTGCTCGCATAAGTTGGCATGTTTATACACACACACACCACACACACACAGAGACAAACACACTAACACAAGCAGACCCTTTAAATCTTTTTGTTATTATACTAAATAATATTTGCATATCAAATAAAGAATAAAGACGAAAAATTTATATTTAAAAAAAATTAATAAGCCTGTAAAATTTGTCTGTCATTTTTGTAGACACACAAACTTATAATTCACGCACGCACAAACACACACAAATATATACACACGCACGCACACACATGCATATATTTTATGTGTTATACACCGGCATACAGTATATGACATGCACGCACACTTGAATGCACACACATACACGCATACACACACACCACATTGAAGTTATAAACGAGCCACAAAAAGCAGCAGCAGCAACTACTATGGCTGCCGATATAAGATGACACCAAACAAGTGCCATGTCATAAAATTTTTTGCTGCTTCCGAAGCTCTGGAAAGATTTGTAATCCTCTTTTTCCAGGAGAGAAAAATTATTATTGTTATTACTATATTATTTTTTATATTAATTTATGTTCCTATTTATTTTTAATTATTTTGAATGTATTTTTTAAACAATTTAAACAAATTTTTTATAAACTAAATATATTTTTCTAAAGAATTATAAAAAGGTAAGGTTAGCAATAATAATAAAAATCATAATATTATTATAGGTATTATTACTAATATTGCTGCTTTTTGATGACGAAAACGATAATAATAATAATAATAACAATAATAATGATAATAATAATAAACACTTTCCACAACAGATAAGTGGGATTTAGATTACAATGGGGGTGTCTGAGTGAGTCGAATGAAGAACATCTCCCAACGACTCCTCGAAAATTCCAGCTCCCATTCCGATGCCCAGAAAAATTTTTTAATTTTTTGCAACTAAATTTTACTTAAATAACATTATTTAACAAAAAATACTTTAAAAAACACTTAAAATTATTTAATATAATTAAAATCAGTTAATATAATTATTTTCTTAGTAAAATTAAATCGTATTTACGTTTCAAAACATACTGAAAGAAAATTATGCTGCGATTTTACTGATGTTGTTAGCATTTATTTTCAGTATTAAAGATGACCGCATATTACTAGCCACATATTTATTTTCTAGAAAAAATTATCTTAAACAAATTTTAAAGAATAAATGATAAAAAAACATTTTAAATTTATAAATTTCCCTGATCCAACCGAATCCAACTGATTTTTAGTACCATTTTTTACATGTCTATTTTTTCATTTCGTTAAAAAAATCCAAACTTTTTTGTGTGTACTTCTTAACACACATCGAGTGGAGAATTAAAGACCAGACAAACAAACAAAGTCAATCCAAACAAAATCAATCAATCAAACAATCAAACAAACAAACAAGCAAGCAAACAAACAAACAAAAAAAACAAACATGCAAACAAACCAATATTAAAAACAAGTTGAATAAACCATTAAAAATACCTTAGGGGAATTCCAATTCTTCTACCATGTGTTCTATTACAGGATGTATTTGTGTGTATATGAATATATATATATATAAATATATGTGCGTGTCAGTACGTACATATACGTATGTATGTACCTATGTAAGTATGTATGCTTTTTGTACATATGTATACTTAAGTGCATGTGAGATTTCCAGAATGTATGTGTGTATTTTCGTCCACATGTTCATTAATAGACATGTGTACTGTGCCAGAGATATGTGTGCAAGCACACAAACACACACGCACACACACATACAAACACACGAAGATGCAGAAGTAATGGAGGTATGGAAAATCATTATTTAAACTTTTTTTCCCTAATTAAAAATGTTTCCAGGCGTTAAACGATGGAGAATGAATGATGATGATGATGATTTGATGATGTTGGCGATGATGATTTGATGATGATGATGATTTGATGATGTTGGCGATGATGATTGGATGATGATGATTTGACGTTGATGATGATTATGATTATAATTTTACGATGTTTATCACCACGGTTATGTAGGTAGATGATATTAGTGAACGTGATGACGATGATAATAACTTTCATTACTACAGCTGCTTCTACTGCTTCAACTACTACTGCTGCTATTACCACAACTATTATCACAACAACTACAAACAACAACAACAACAACTACTACTACTACTACTACTACCACTGATGATGATGATGTTGATGATTGTAACGATGACGAAGAAGTTGCGGATAAAAATTAATGACGATGATGACTTGATGAATGAAATCCAGTTCTTCAATGTTTTGTAATGATGATAACGATGATGATGATAATGGCTTTGTAGTGATTCATGTTACGAAATGATGATGTTAATAGATGACATGATAATATAATGATAATGATGATGATGTTAATGATGACGATGATGATGATGTTAATAAAGATGACGACAAAATGATGATTGATGTTATTGCAAACGATGAAGTGATGATAATTATGATAACATTTTCACAGTGGTGACGTCACTCACGTTATTAATGTTTCCGCTGTTGAAAAATAGCATCAATACAAAAAAAATGACATCAACTAATGCAGTAAATATGGACTGCATTCACATCCAGACAGATACATAAGACGTAGACTCGTAATATCTATATCTACTTGAATAGCATGGCATATCAATTACAACTAGCGACGGTACTGTTACCTAAAGTTCGATTCTTATCGTTCTTTTGCAGCTTAGCGACACTTCAGCACAAGGTGGCTATTTTTACGCCATTTCATCAGGAGAGACTGATTATTTTCAAATTCTCTCGATCAAATCTATCTCCACTTCAAATGAAATCAAGACTTCTATTCTAGAGGAACACTTCTACTTTAGATTGAACCTCGAGTTTCCTCTTAATCTGATCGTATTTTCCACATTCAGTTAATATATGCTGAATATATTCAGGTAATTTTTTTTAAACAACTCTTCTTTTCTTCACTGTTTCTAAATAATCCGCTTTTAAGTGTCATCAAGCTTTCCTCAACAACAGCTAAGACTTGCAAGAAATAAGTTATTTCGTTTTGAAACTCATTCTAACTTGTTATTAACACTTTAATTTTGATATTATGCCTATATAATGCTATGCGCGCTGCAAGTCACTGAGTTGAAATACAAATTTGAAAAAATCAAAATAAAATTTTTTCATGTGAAAATAGTGGAAGTCGAATTAATTTTTCTATATGAAATCGTCGTCACTAATTACATCTTTATGACATCAACTGGGCTACTGAGCACGTTAAAAACAATAAAAAACACATTAACACAACACTGATTAAAACAACACATAATTACAAGACGATATCCTAACAATAATAACATCAGTGAGATAACAACATCATACAAATAAAGCATCAGCAGACTAACAAAAACATTGAAAAATTAGAAAAACAACGACACACCAACAACGACAACAACAATAACAATAACAACGACAACAATAACAACAACAATAACAACAACACAACAATATAGCCCCAAGGAATTTAATCATGCTAAAATGTCTCCATCGTCAAATTCTGATGTGTGCCTCAAGCTATCGGAACAACTCGTACTCAACTTTTTGTTGTTGTTGTTGCTGTTGTTGCTGCTGTTGTGGTGCCGGTAGTTGCTGTTGTTGTTGTGCTAGCAGTGCTGTGGTGCCTGTGGCTGTTGTGGTAGTGGCTGTTGCCGTCTTGGTGGTTACTGGCGTTGATTTTGATTTGATGTTGATACTATTGTGATTTACGACAGCGTTGTTGTTGTTATGGTTATTGTAGTTGTTTCAACAATGCGGTAGTTGTTGCTGTTGTTGTTGATTTTTTGATAATAATAAATAAATATATATACATATAAATAAATAAACAAACAAATAAATGATTAAACAAACAAACAAATAAAAATGTGAATGTGTCTAATTATAGCGGTAAAATTAGCGAGGTCGTTGAGGATTGACGCGTCTAATGATTAAAAAAGCATTTTATTGTTATTATTATTATTATTGTTGTTGTTGTTGTTTGTTTGTTGACGTCATATTAAAAATATTCCTCTTCTTCTTCCTTTTCTTCTTCTTATTATTATTACTATTATTCTGATTATTATTGTTGTTGTTGTTTTGTATAATAACTTCATGTTAATAATTTTGTTGCTTAAGTTTGGCTGAGAATATTCCTAATCGTAATGCGTTTTGTATCAATATTATTATTATCCTTATTGTTGTTGTTATTATTGTTGTTATTATTATTATTGTTGTTGTTATTATTGTTGTTATTATTATTATTGTTGTTGTTATTATTGTTGTTATTATTATCATTTCTGTTTTTTCTCCTCTGCCACAAGCCACGATGAACAAACCAGGCTGTCATATTTTATAGAAGAGCTTTTTATATTCTCCAGCCAATAATAGTAATAATTACAACTATAATAATAATAATAAAAATACTATTTTTACGCTATTAAAATAATACTATTAAAATTAATTGGTATGAACACTATATCAATCGATAATTTTTATGTATGTGTGTTATTATGTATGTCCGTGTATGTGTGAGTGTGTATGTGTGTGTTTGTTTGTGTGTGCGTGTGCTTTTGTTTGTGTGTGTGTGAGTGTATAAACC